CGCACCATTACACTCCAGCCTCTGTCTCAAAAAAAAAAAAAAAAATGACAGTGGTTAAGGGACCGTGTGGGGACAGATGGGAGATGGATTTCAGGGTAGGAGGGGTGGACATAGGGTGAAGGAGAGGAAGGATGACTGGAGAGAACACCAGCTCCAGTGGCCTGACCCTCAGGCCCGTGTGCTTTCTCGCATATTGTGCTGCCTTGTCATAAAACGAGGATTCCACTTTAGTCCAACTCTTCCATTTTCCAGTGAAAGGAGGAAATCCCAGGAAACAGAAACCCTCATTTATGGTCAAGCTGCAAGTTGGTGGAGAAGCAAGAGTAGAAGCCACGTCTCCCTTCCCTGATCCGACCACTTCTGCAGGTTCATGGCAGGGTGCACATTAGAACCACCTGCAGAGGCTTCCAAACCACACGTGCCTAGCCCATCCCCAGATCCAGTGAACCAGAATCCCTGGGCTGGACCACTGGCTCACCCTAGGCAGTGCACAAGCATCTCTTCCTGGTGCAAGCTTCATAGCACGTTCTGCCTGGACCACTTTCTCTGTTTTATAACTGCACATTACATACAACCATTGATAACTGAGAAGGCTCGCAGTGTTTGGATAAGGAACCATATGCAAAAAAATTCCACAGTTCTTCCTTATAGGCCCACTTAACTAATTTGCAAACATCTCACTGAAACTGCAGGGGAAGAGGCTTTAGAAGGCTGCTCACCAGTAAGGAAAGGTTAATGGAAGTAATTATAAATAAGCAGTTGCCTGTCTAAATTTTATAAAATTGGTATTCTCTTTATGAGTATGTTTTGGTAAAAATAGGGAATAGCTTTTTTTTTTTTTTTTTTTTTTTTTTTTTTTTTTTTTTAAAGTATAGAGTCTCGCTCTGCTGCCCAGGCAGGAGTGCAATGGCTTGATTTCAGCTCACTGCAACCTCCGCCTCCTGAGTTCAAGCTATTCTCCTGCCTCAGCCTCCCAGGTAGCTTGGATTACAGCGCCTGCCACCATGCCTGGCTAATTTTTGTATTTTTAGTAGAGATGGGGTTTCACCATGTTGGGCAGGCTGGTCTCCAACTCCTGACCTCAGGTGATCTGCCCGCCTCAGCCTCCCAGAGTGCTGGGATTACAGGTATGAGCCACCATGTCTGGCCAGGAATAGTTTTAAAACATAAAAAACACAAAACTTTTAAAAAACATAGGTTTCCTAAAGCTTTTAGTCTCCCCTCCCCCTAATGTTTCATAAAGTCCTGAGTTTCTCGATCACAATGTTTTCATCCAAGCAGGCTTTTAGGAACAGGACCCCAGGGTTAGGGAATACTCTATTGTTATTTTAAGACTTAATCAATTAGAAAGGCAAAAAATAAATTTAGTTTTTTTCATTATTAATGAAGTTGAATTGTTCATGATAATTGTTAGTTACGGAGTCTCTGTTATGAATTGCCTGTGTCTGAGTTTCTTACACAGCACAATATAAAACACAAATAGCTGTGGGGTACTTTCTAGGTGCTAGTTTCTGTTCTAAGAGCTTTAAATGGAGTAATTCAGTTAATTCTGCCCCACGGTACAATAATTAGTCTCTTATGATGGAGGAAACAGAAGCACGGAGAGATCAAACAACTACTTGCCCGAACTCATGCCCGGGAAGGCTGGATTCAGAGCTTGTTGCCAACATTTTTCTTATTTATTTGTATTCCATTTTTCTATTAAATAGAAAAATTAGCCGGTGTGGTGCCTCATGCCTGTAATCCCAGCATTTTGGGAGGTTGAGGCAGGCAGATCACCTGAGGTCAGGATTTGACACCAGCCTGCCCAACATGGCGAAACCCCGTCTCTACTAAAAATACAAAAATTAGCCAAGCATGGTGGCCTGTGCCTGTAGTTCGAGCTACTTGAGAGGCTGAGGCAAGAGAATCGCTTGAACCCAGGAGGTGGAGGTTGCAGTGAGCCAAGATTGTGCCAT